TCTGCGGGGAACTGGACACAAGCTTCTGCGCAGCTCGAGGAGTCAGCCGCCTGGTTCGCCGTCCCGCAGGTAGCGAAACTCGGTGAAGTTAAAGCTGTACGCTGGGACGTTTTAAGTCTGAGGTGCCGGTCTCCGTGGCGGTGTTAATGCTGCTCTGAAAAGCGCCCTCGCCCTTCAGAAATGAGGCTGTCAGAAGTCATCATTGTTCCTAAAAAACCATGCGCCGTTCTTCCTGAGGTGCTAGTAGAGTGGGCGGTTGTTTTTCCTTTCTTCATTGCATGTGCATCATACGTGTGAGACAAACCTTTAGCGGACATGCATGTTGTCACAATTTACTCTTCCACTAGGGAAAAGTTAAAATATAAAAGCTCTTTGCTTTTGCTTCCATATTCATATCTTCAGAGTGCATTAAGTATCCTCAAGGTAATATGCATCACCCTGCCTCCAGAACTTATATTTGTTTTCTTGGCAGTTTTATGTCCCCAGATGTTCGAGTTAAAGGTATTTCTCTGGTGGTGCAAACGAGTTTATTCAGTAAAAGTAATTAGAGTCAAACTTAATCCCAGAGGTTTTTTTTTTAATTGAAGTTTTGAATTTTAACTTTGTATGTGTATAATCACAGAGGTAAGATTTTTCAAAGATCTTGCAGAACACCGAGAAGCTTTAGAAGGAAAAAAGTAAGCAAGAAAGATGTGTGGAGGAATAAGCAGAACCAGACAGAAGTCCCTTTGTTTTTCTGTTACGATGTTAGAGAGAATGCAGGGGTTTTTTTCCAACAAGTATGTTTGTGTTAAATATCTCAGAACTAATGTATACAATCTATACATCCAGTATATGTGACCGTTAGACTAATTTTAGTCAGTTGTTGAAAGCAAAAGTCCATTTCTGGTAGGTTGAATAAACTAAGCCATTACTAAATGTCATCTGCCAGAATTCCAAGGTAACACTGCTGTACCACAGTGTTTTTACAGCCTTGTGTTATGCCCAAGGCTTTAATGTTTCTCCAGAATTTAAGGCTAGAGGGAAGCCATAGTGGCTGTTTTGTACAAACAACACCAAAGATCCTTCTTTTAGGGGTAATAAAACTAAAATGTCAGCTCCATGGATAGGTTAATGTTATTACGTGGGGTGAAGTTTAGGATTTTTTTCCCCCTTATTCTGATTTAGAATCAGATGCTGTCATTACTATAGTTTCCTTTAGGAAATACCTTTAGGGACAAAGTTAAGTAGTAAGATAAGTTTTTTCCTTCCTTATTAATTCTGTTTATTTTTCAGTGAAAGTCAGGGTGCTCTTACAACATAAGTAATACATGATCAGGTTAGTATTTGTATGTATTAGTTTCTGTTAAACCCAACAAAGTTACTTCTGTTCTTGGATCAATTAGGCTAAGATTAATAACAGCCACTTCTAGCATCACATTTGAAGTTGTGGTGTGGCTTGTGGAAACAAGTAGACAGGAAGTAGAGTTATGATGCTCTTTACTGTTTTATGTTTAATTTCTTTGGTTTGTCTTCAGTGTTGCTTTAGATGAGACGTTGTTCCTCGGGGATTTAAAAATGGCATTATTAAGCATTTGAAGGATTTCTGAACGTAGGAGTTTTGGGGCTGGGTTGCTGGGTCCGAGCTTCTGTTTAAGAAATAGTCTTAATGATTTGGATCACTTGCTTTGTACTTTTTCCTGTGGTTGAAAGAAGACTGTATCCTGTAGATCCTTCCAATCCTGTAGCTGGATCGAGTGTGCGTGCTCACTTGAGGCTTTATCCGTGGCACGGTTAGGAGCCAGCTGAATTAGTTCTAGCGGTGGCAACTTGCTTCTGGTGCTTCTAACATCAAGGAGGGTTATTACAAAGTCCTCATGGTAGGTGATTAGCACACGTGCAATAATGTGATGGTTCCAGGAGGTAGCATGATTGCTGTGTGCCTGTGCTCAGAGCCGCTGCCTATGTATATGCAGAGCGTGTATGATGCCTCCCAGGTGCAGCGAATGCAGAGTGCAAGTAGCTGCTGTGATACTTGCCTATAGGAAGGTTTGAAATACATCTGAGGTATAGTGAAATGTAATTTTGTGAGTATCAGTTTGAAGTCAGTGTTATGGTTTATACTGAGATACAAAATAATATGCCAGGCTATTGTGGGATAGTGTTTTTATGGATTTTTCTTAGGCAACCTTTAGCAGCGTAGGAAAGCATAGGTTTCTTAGAACATAAGCCACATTGGGAGCTTCCAAGCCACTGATTTTGGTCTACTTTAAAGCACTATCACCTTATTGGAAGAAAAGCATTGAATGAATAGGACAAAAAAGGTAATCTGATCTTTGTTCTTAAAATCTTAAAGGGCTTTTCTTGCTGGGCTTTTTAAATACCTAATTTAATTGTACTTTGTTCTCTAAGAAAGGCTCTGAGTTTCCTATAAAGTCTTTACAGTGCTGCTACCATGGACACAAAACTGTTGGACTGGTTATTCGTTTTACAAGGAGCTGTAGTTCCTCAAAGTATATGCGTTCAAACCTGTTACTTTGATTGATATATGGGAATAACAATTCTTGGTTTTTTTTTCCTTTCATTTCACATTTGAATGCTACTATTGAAGCTTTAGCCTTCTGCCAAGAAGCCTAGAGGCAGCCCTCTGAGGTAAGCTACCACAAACTCATTTTTGAGAACTCTTATTTTGTAATGGTGAAGTGTTACAACATGCCAGACTTGAAATGGACTGTAAGAAGGATTTGTCTAAAACATGTGATCACTTACATATTGTTTCTGCAATAAAATGCGGCAAGTTTTAGTAAGATACAAATTTTTCTTTCTTCTGGATAATGTTAATTGTAAAGTCAGTCAGTGGCTCTACACAGAGAAATTGCAAAAAACACCCACAATTTAAGACACTATTCAAATTGCATAGTTGAGAGATTGTTTTCCATAAAGTAATTGACATAAAAATATTCTGATAAAACGTACATGCAGGGAACACATTTTCGCCTGGTTGAATGCTATCTGCTTAAAACAACTAAATTTTGAAGTCAGGAGCTCTGTGTTTCTTAAGTTTCTTGTTCAGGGCACAATATTACCTTTTATACTTTAGCTCATTTGGATCAAAACATCACCCCAAATTTTTACAATACTTTTGTATGAGGAGGATGCTTAGCAGTACCCTCAGCATTAAAGATATGACTAAAGGGTAAACACACACATTCAGGAATAAAAAGATCAATGGAGGGATATTTAGAAATGGCTGTTTCTAAATAATCTTGTGAACAGGCATCCTAAAAATCAAATTAATAGTTCCTGGTCTGTGCAGTGGGATTTTTTTTACATAGCATTCTAAATAGGTTCTTTGGCAGTGTAACTTAATGATAGTTCCTATATATAAAAATCTATCTACAAATAGTTGCCGGACTTGTTACACCAGTGTGCTACCAATCCAGTAGATAAATATTTGAATTGCCTGAGTATGATGAAGCTTGTATAAATAGATGATTCATTTCCCATAGAGAAAACAATGTCTCCCTTCTCACATGCTCATATGCCTCAGATTTCTTAAAAATACAAGCTCTTTTTTTTTGTTTTGTTTTGTTTGGTGTAATCCCCAGTAAAATTAGTTCTGTGGTCATTAGGGCTTTATCAGCGTAATCTCACTTGTTGAATTAAGGATGATACAGTTCCTTTGTGCATACTAAATAGTGAATGTGAGAAGATACAGTTTATACTCGAGGTTTAGTGTGATTCTTCAAATACTTACAGAACGATTCAAGTTGAGATGTAGTACTTTGAGCTGCTTCTGCTACTCAACTTGTGAGCACACCAGCTAGTGCCACATGAGAATTTTATCAGATGTGTCACCTGTAAAGAGAAAGAAAGAGAGGAGTCAGAATTCAGGTTGAAAGGTATGATTTTTAGAGAAGCCTTTAGTTTTCAAATGCAGTGATGAAATCAGGTTATGAAACAATCTTAGCCTTTGTAACTTTATATGAAATGTTCCTTGTGAGGTGGTCCATTTCCTTAAGAATTGAAGGGTTACGTTGAGATTTTCAAATTCATATGTATATAAATTTATAATTTATATACATGTAGTCCAAGATCACTAGAAATTGTGTCACTGCTAGCCTCATGAGTGTGGAAAGAAGGATCCGTTTGTCATAATGTCATTGTCAGCTTCTTGCAACAGGTGTGGCATTTTCTGATTTTCTGTGAGTGTCTTGACATTCTCTGCTCTTTACCTGTGCAACTGTTATAAAGAGATGCTAGAGGACTAAGATGGAATTATGGATTGAGCAGGTTGTATTGTCAGATGGATGTTGTCCCCCAGGTTATTTTCATTTATATCTTGTTTTGTCCACCTTTGTGACAGCTCTTCACCGGAAACTTTTCTTGTGAAAGGCTGTTGCAAGAAGTGCTGTTACTGCTTGGTCTGAGATGCAATAAAAGAGGTTCTAAGTAATACAGGCCTAGAGATCTTTACCACAAAAATTCCTATTTGCAAGAAATGGTCTCTTAGTTCTGTCTGAAAGAGCAGAGGCTGAACAATTGCATATACCGAATGTTCAGGACAGTAAAGCTTCATGTACATTATTTCAGGTATAGACTTGGTTCAAGACATTAATTTTTATAGTCTTTCTGAATAATTAATTTATTTCCATGTTGTCATCTGCCCAGGTTCATGAGAATTACTTAATAATCCAAGAAGGATCAGAGCAATGCTTGTACAGGATACTGACTCTTTCAGTCTGGCACAATAGTTTACGTAAAATGCTTAAGTGTAGCATTATAGCTAGAAGATTAGCTGATCAGGAATAGGCTTTATTAGCAAGTTCTGAAATGTCTCCTCTGCTTCTTCTGTGTCCGTTTGGGCCCTGAGGTAACTACAAAATATGGATTTTTGCTCTATTGTCATTAGTAGTTTACAGGAACTAGGAAATGTTCTATGACAGCAAGAGATCAGGTTTGAGACTTGTGACTAAAGGCGGTGATACCAAACCCAGCTTAGAGCAGTGCTCGCTTCATTAGTCTCTTTGTCTTCTTGTCGTTACATATTTCGGCTTGTCAGATTGGGAAGCACCTACAGTTACGAACATATCATTGTACTACTATGGAAGGTTATCTGGGCAAGCCTGTACGCTCCTCTGGTGTTCAGCATTGACAAGATTGCTGCAGTCTGACAGTTCCCAAGTGCTCTCCTAGAAGATTATTCTGATAATTGATCTGTTCCTTTCCAAGTAGAATGCCATGCTTACCGTTTCTGTTGAAAACCAGACATTGGCTGGGTTATTTGGTGGACACCACTTATCTTCAATAGAATCACTAGTGGGATTCGAAGAACATTATGATCGGTGGAACTGCAAGACAAGACTAGTCCTTGACTTAAAATTTTGCTTTGACAATGACAGCTCAAGCAGAAGGAGTTGTAATATACTTAGTTGACTTAATCATGCTCTTGAGCAGCCTAGACATGGCATAGGATCAGGAACAAGTACCTCCCTTCTGGCTGTACATCGCTGCAGTTCAGAGTCTGGATGTCACAAGTTCTGCTGTATAGTTTATGTAGTTATTTTCAGTTGTCTTCTGTCCAGAATTATCGGTGTTTTTTTAAGAGTCTGATATGCTTCTGCAGTCATAAAAGCTATGCCACTAAAAAGGACTATCAAGCTGTCACCTGACCTTGTTCTGGGTGCTTTACCTCACTTTATGGTGTACCCTACATGGAGGACAAACAGTTGATAGCTTGAAAAAAGCAGAGGTTTTAATTATATTTGGTCAATGGGGAGCGTAGTTACTTTCATAACAATAACTAATTAAATAAATAAGTTTCTTGTTATGTGATGTAACTTACTGGCAGTCAGGGCTTATCTGACCAGAGCCCAAACAGTATCATCTGTCCATGTCAAGTTATTACAGTATCCCAAATGTGCAAGTAATCCACTCATATCTAGAACGTTTTGCACTGATTTGCCTACTAGATCTGATGGTGTGTTGTAGAATAGTATTTCAAGAGGTAATGCATTCGTGCAGCTGTGATTTCGTCTTTCCACAATCCTGAAGAGACTGCAATTTACCAGACTCTGTATTCCATCAAGTGTTCAAAAAGAGCATGCTTACTTACCTGATAGTGACTCTGATCCTTCAGGATGTTTATCATCTTCAGGAATCCTACCAGCCACCTCCCAAACCTGTTTTTGAAATTTTCTGCTAACACAGGCTTTCAGAATTGGGTGGAGCTGGAGTCATGCTTCCATTTATGCAGTGTAGGGTTCTGAGGATTCCTGCAGCATATGCAGAGCTCCAGCAGCTATTGCTGTTTAAAAGACTTAGGAGTTCACACATGTGAAACATCTGTGCGCTCTCTGCAAGTTCTGTAATGGCTGCAGTGTTATAAGAAAAGTATCTGTTGTTTATGTACTGAGTTTCACTACCATAAATACTGTTTTGGGTTAATGAGATATGACTTCTTTTCACCGGTAAGTATATGACTAACTTTTAAGTTTTATAATTTTATTGAAGATCAGGCTGTATACAACTATTTACTGTAAAACACATCAGTCTGGTATTACGGATAATCATGTTGTCTTTTTGTTCAAGTAAAATAGCAGAATTATTTCTTGAAATGCATTAGAAGTATTACAGACCTCTTCAACCCATTGTACAAATATTGATGCCAAATAGTCTCAAAACCTCTGAGGAAAATGCCTTGTATTATTTTTCATCTTGGATTTTGCAAAACTGGAAATGGAAGAGATTAAAGGATCTCAGGATCTGGGAAGCATTTGTATCTGGATTTCAAGTTGAGTATCCTCCACTTGGATAAATTCATGCTCTTGTTACAAGTTGTCTTTTATCTAATATGGATGCAATTATTAGGTCTCAAACAAGAGCATTTGCATTTCAGGGAATGGAAGCAGCTTTTTTGTTCTTCCTTCCTCTGTGTGTTAAAGGATGCTTTTTGCACAGCACCTCTTTTGCTAAATCTGCTCTTTCCCCACATTAGATGCATAGTGAGAGAGTCAGTGACATACGGAGGAGGAGAGGAAGTAACAAAATTGGTGTATTCATGTGAGAAAGTACTTGTGATATAAGAGGAGTGGGACATGTACACACACACACCCAGGCTAAGCAGAAACATCTGACCAGATTTTTAGGTTGGCTGGATGCTATCCACTTACCAGTGATTTCGGAAATGGTACTTTAACAAAAGAAATGTGGTTACAAGTCCTTTTGGGGACTTGTAATAATAATGAGCTTCAGGGAAGTTAGAGCAAGAACTTTTTGACTGTTTGGAGAAATATGTCTCAATTCAAGTTTGTATTCTGTTGAATTTAATGAAAACCCTTTATACTTGCTGTTGCAGCATCAGTGGGTATTAGTGCATCATTTTGTCAGCAGAAAGTTGTTTTTCTGGAAACAGCTATTAAGGCATCATGTACTGGTCTGCACTGGATTCTACTGGGCAAAGCCACTGACTCTTAATGACCTCTGTCTGGCAGCCAGGAAAGCAATAGGGAATGGAAAATACCAGTATAAAAAGAGAACCAGGAAAAAGGGAGCAGACTGCTTTTTAAAGGTATGATTTCTAAGCCTAAAAACCATTGTGGTTTAAAAAAAGTTTAAATCCTCAGAACTCAGAGCTTCATTTTTTTCCCCTCAAGGACAATGACTGAAACTTGGTAAAGTCACGGGAACAAAAGATACTCAAAGAAGGAATCATGTTTAGGTGTTTGGGAGGCACAGGAGGATTTCTGTGAATCTGACATGCTTCTTAACAATAAAGTATACGCATGGACGTTTGAGTGGTTCCCTTACAGATCATTTTTATTTACTCCAGTCTCCAAAAGGTCTATCTTCAAGATAACAAAACGTAAGTGGAGAGGCAACATGCGAAGCATGCCTTAGTGGAATACAGGAAGCCTCAGGAAAATTCCCTCAGACCACAGTGTTTTCTTTCTCCTGTTTTCAGTTCATCGTTCCTCTTTTCCATCTTCCTTTCCCTTTTTGACTCTCAAAAAGGTTCCTTTTCCCCAGAAGTCATACGAATGCAGTGAAAGGAAGAAAGGTGGGTTGGGTTAGTATAGTTTCATGTTCGAGTACACTATATATGTATGATGCGAGTGAGCTGGCTGGATAGAAGCAGATGCTTTCCTTCCTTATTCTGTTTAATGTCAAGGGCAATTGAACTGCAGAGGCTCACCTCCCAAAGAGGTGTTGGAAATTATCAACTCTATTCCTGAAGAGTATAATTATAGAGGTTTTTTTTTATATATAAAATATCTGCTGTTCAGACCTGATTAGGCTTGCACGTGCAGACTATCCCAGAGCAGGATTCATAACTGATAATGAAGTTGTTTCTGTAGGTTTGTAACATCTGCTGGTCTCAGTTCCAGTGGAGAATGACTGAGATACTTAAGAGGAAATGTGAGAATGCTTTTAGTTGTTATTTTTTTTTAAACTAACCTCCAGGAAGAACACTTCCTAATTCTCAGTTGTTATTTGACTTCAAAGTTGTTTATCCCTATTATCAAAAATTGTAGTTGTTTTTTAAAATTTACTAAAGCAAGATCACCTATTCCTGTTACTCCCTCAAACTCCTTTTCCAATTGTGCCATGCTCATAGTTTCAGGAGTTTGTTACAAAGGTTTGGTGGGAGAGTATACTGTTATTTTTTTTTCTTCTGTATTCATTGAATTATTATTAATATCTATATTATAAGAATCTGACATTCATGTGGGCTTTATAGGATATAATTTAAAGCTTGCAAAGTTTTGTTGTCGGCAGTTTGAACTGCTGTGCTTTCTTTGTGGTGTATACTGTTTTCCATTTGGTTCCTCAAGCATTCTAAGAAACCTGATCTTGTTTCTTATGTGCAGATTTTGAAATGAAGTTTTATACCTGTGTGGCAAAGCCAAGAGTATGGCAGTAACACTAATGTTGGTACATCATAAATCTTAAAATTCTCTTTTGGAGCCTTGAATCTCTCTCCTGACAAGCTAACAAATCTAATGATCAGTCGGAGAATTAAGGCATTGTGGCAATCCCATCGTTAAAAAACTTCTTTCCCATTGTGAAAATCCCATTTGCTTTTTAGTCCATTTTTAAAATAACTATTTCTGTTGCTGCTTTCTAGCTTAACAAATGGCGGCGCAGTGCATGACAAAGGTGGAGCTGACTGTTGCCTGCACCAATCTCTTGGATAAAGATGTTGGTTCCAAGTCAGACCCACTGTGTGTGCTTCTCCAGAACACGAGTGGTCAGCAGTGGTATGAGGTACAGTGTGATGAATCTGCTGAAAATATAGTCTAACTTGTTGGACCTTTTAAAACACTGGAGTGTATGATTTCATTAAAATATTTTAAGTATATACCAGCACCTCTGCATACTTTTTGTTAGATTATGTCTATAATAGTTATACAGGTAGCACACTAATAGTTGTTTTCTCATAAATACTTACACCTGTGATTTTTAACACTGTTCTGCCAGCCCCCCCATGTATGGACCAACAGAAGAAGCCTTCCAAGCACTTAAATGTGCTTTTATAAATACAGTACTCCAAAACTAGGGTCTCATCCTGGATTTGACAATGTACCATTTTTATGTTGTCTTCCCTATGGAGGAATAGATGCTCCTTACAGGGAGCAAAGAAATATCTCTGACTTAGGGCAGTGGGTTTTATAATATAATGTGGTTATTTATATTTGATGAAGTTTTTGTAGGAAGATATGGCTTTATATTTTATACTAAGAAGAACTTTTGAAAGTCTTTAATACTATGTTATTTGATTTGAGTGCTTGTTTGGTTGATGAAATACTGGATAAAGTGATATCTTTCTAACTGCAGGTTGCTCGCACAGAAAGAGTTAAGAATTCCTTGAACCCAAAGTTTGCCAAGAAATTCCTAATTGATTACTATTTTGAGCTTGTTCAGAAGCTTAAATTTGGAATATATGACATCGATAACAAAACCTTTGATCTGAATGATGATGACTTCTTAGGAGAAGTTGAATGTACACTGGGACAAGTAAGTATGCAGATAATTTCCCTTAGAATTAAGAAAATACAAGTTAATGCAAGTCATAACCACTTGTATCTTAAATTTATTACTATGTTCTTGTGTAGTTGGGGTGCTCTTAAGTTGAATAGGATTCCTTTCATTTGTTTTTTCATGCCTCAGTTCAGTGTATATAAATTTTATTTGCAAAAGGTCTTGAGATGATGCCCTGAAATGTGCTCTAGAATGGTGATTATCCAGATTGCTGTCTGAAAGTAAGTGGACTGTCAATGAGCACAAAGTAGTAATTGCTGTTCAGTTGCTCTAATATTTAAATTCTTATTTTTATGCTGCATAAAAAGAGAATTGGTGTATAGCAACCTAAGAGTGTTCACAAGGGCCATGTTAACCTTGTAATTTGCTTTCCGCTCAAGGCAAGCAGTGACTCTCGTTCTGCCTACTGTTGATTTCACTCCCATTTCCCTGTCAAATTCTGCTGTTGGTGCCATCACAATTGGGCAGCTTATTTTTTAACTTGTTCTTTCTAATAGAGCCTTCAAAGGCACTTCTTCTCAGGAGAGTCTTGGGATTTTTCTTCCCCTGTGTCTAAAGTAATTTTATTTACATGCATTATGAAGATGGAGGCATTGTGAAATGAAATTCAGTAACAATTTAAGATTAATATTCATTCTTAAAGTAAAGAAGGACCTGTAGAACAAGTAGACACACTTCTGAGAAAGCATTGCCTGAAGACGATAAAATAAAAGCAACTAGAAACACTACAGGGGGAAGGCTGATGTTTGTTTGCATGACATGCAGTGTGTTTATAAATCTGTTCGCTGAAGCCATTCATGAAACGTGGCTTGCATGTGTTTGAATGGTATGTGTGAAAATCTTCAGAACAATTTGAGACCTGAGCTTAAGGTATAATCTTTGTCTATGTATGTGTATCATGGTATTACAAGACATTTTGTTTCGTATTGCTCCTGAAACTCTGCATGTGTTCATCTGCCTATGTATTATAAAATTTTGAAGTGTATCAAGTATTACCTATTTATTTAGAGGAGATCATGGGAAGTAAGTGATATGCTGTCATCTTCATGATGAAGGAAACATTCACAAAATGAAAATACCTCATTATCTCATTTCATTCCTTTGAAAATCTGTTCCATTGCACTAATAATGCTTGATACTCATATTTTGTCTTGACAGATAGTTTCTAGCAGGACTCTAACAAAACCATTAGTACTTAAAAATGGCAGACCTGCTGGAAGAGGAAGTATTACGGTAAGACAATTAAGACAATAAATCTCTTCAGTGTTTATCCTTAAATGTTTTTTTGGTTTTTGTTTTTTGTTTTTTTTTTTTTTTTTAGTTAGTAACCTGAACACAGTGTGTCTAATCTACAGTGCTGTAAAAAGTATTTTAAAGCATTCTTTTTTTTCTTCACTGTATTTCTTTGTCATCCAAAAGGAGAGCAGCCCACCCTCTGCATCTATAAGTCTCATGGCGTCCATCACAATAATTAGGACATCCTATGTGCTACTGTTTGGGCAGTATCTTTAATTGTCAGTGTCATCATCTAGTGAATCCCAGTGTCAAATCAAATTGTTCCTCCCTCCCCACACCCCATTTTTTAATGCTTCATTTGTGAGTAAAGATTTATTTTTTTTTAATGGACTGGTCATAAGCATGTTGCGAATATGTGAAAACTGTGTAGTTCCTGAATACAAAATAAGTATTTTATTTTGTTTGCCTATCTAGATTACAGCAGAAGAAGTGAAGGATAACAGGGTGGTTGTATTGGAAGTAGAAGCAAGGAAACTGGACAATAAGGTATTTAAGTGATTGCTGTCTTTGATAAAGTAGTAAAATCAGAATCTTGTTAGAACAGGAAACATTAAAATGTTCTTTCTTATTTTTTGCTGAAATAAGAAAAGTCTTAACAGATTTAATTACACTGAAAAAGAAATTGAGGAAAGATTGCTTCAGAGTAACTTCCATTGACTGTTTTAAGATGAATTATAACCTATGACAAGTACATTGCAGGGTTATTCTGTGAATAGCATGCTTCCATTTAAATGTAAATATTTACATTTAATCATAAAGATAAGGAAGTTTTGGTATATCTGTTTCTTTGAATAGATGTATAAGTGATCACCTGTTGGCACTCTCAGATAAATGGTAGAGAGTGTACTTGAAATGTATAAATCTGTTACGCTAAATATTTTGGGGCTGGCTAAAAATACCATATTTAGAAAGACTTTTAAAAACAAAAACAAAAAAAAAAACCAACAAAAAAAAAACCTTACCATTTTTCCCAGTTGATTTAGTGAAACTTTTTTGAACTGGAGAAATCCTTAGTTTTCCTGACTATGTGTCATAGTACTTATTAGTATAAGTATTCTTTTGCTTGAACTGTCAGGTATTTCGTATGTGGACACTGCAGAACTTTTATCCTAAATTGACAGACGTGCTCCATTTTCTTCCTTTCTTTCACAGGTGGTAATATAATCAGACTTGCATTTTTTTCATCTAAAGCTTTTGTTCCCTGAATATTTAGTTTACTTTTTGTTAATCTAAGTGCATTTTAACTAGCATTTAATGGCATTCATGCCGCAGGCTGTTCTGGGATAATTACATGTTCTTTAAATGCAGGATTTTTTTGGAAAGTCGGATCCTTATCTGGAATTCCACAAGCAGACTGGAGATGGAAACTGGGTGATGGTTCACAGAACAGAGGTAGGATATTTTCAGTCAACAACCTAGAGATTAAGGTTACTTGACTTCCAGTGTGTCACAGCACTAGAGGTACAGTACCGTACAAAAAGAGGAGAATGGTCTGGTGGTTGATATGCAAACCAGTTAGAAATCACCACAGCACTTCCACTGATTTTCTGGTAGGACGAGAAGTCTACCTTACTCTGATTCTGGTTTATGCCATCCTATTTTAAAGGAATATACTTTTTTTAAAAAAACAAAACAAAAAACAAAACAAAAAAACCAAAACCAAACCCAACAAACTTTCTGCAATCCAGAGGAAAACAAATGTTTTGAAAAGGTACTGCGTACTCAAACAGGGACATCTGTCGCAGTGCTACTCTGAGGTTATAACTTGGGCATTCCT